TTTGTATATAATGTTCCAAACATGTATTGATTGATATTTGTTACTTCTAAGAACCTGGCATGTGCAATTCTATGGCATGAAAATGAAGAATAATTTCATGATTTCTATCATCCATAGTCTAACTATAAGTGAACCCAATTTGGACCACATCACAAGACAAGCCTTGTATTGGGAAGTAAAGCCATCTATAGAGCATACCCATATAAAAACATTCAAAAGTGATATGAAAGATATTAGTGTATTATTTGATGGGAAAGTTTTGATATAAAGGAATAATGGCACTCCTAGAAAGCAAACACATTAGTTCTAAAAAAAAAAACAAACTAATATTCAATTGGACAGGCATTGTAGAGAAAGAGAATGGTCCATTATTTCTTATTTCCCATATCGAATCTCACAATGATTCGAAAGTTAAACACCAACATCTCTCAATACGATTATGATTCAGTATTGTTATCTTTGTAATCAGTCATTAAGGGCAAATGACACATTCTTCAATCCTCTAGAAAGTTGCCAAAGGTGGGACAATATTGACATGTGTGCTTGTTAATAGATGCACTAAATGTTCTATGGTCATTATACAATTGAATGAATTTGTTATTGGATGGGAGCAATAGGGAGGAATCAAAATTCTTCTTTGAAAGAATGATTTTCTTTAACTTTTTCACTTGTACTCAAAATTTGGTATCATGAGTTGCTCAATTAAAATTTTACATGCTTTTTCCAAAATGATATGAGCCCATGACCCTTTTGATCGCCTTGTAGTACTTCCATTAGATAGTTTTTGCACTCAATGGCATCATTTTCAGCATCCACATTCTTTCAGGGATGCAGGTTTTGCCTGACCAACACGTAAAGTCTCACCTCAAATCCTCATCTAGAAAGTATTTTGGATATCAGAAATCGTCATGATGGCTCTCTAAAATCATTTTCTAATACCGATTGAAATTTGAAGCTCAAAAAATGGACACACCTTGCGGACTAGTGAACGCTTATTTTTAGAGAAAAATGGACTGTCGAGATAATGTATTACAATATACGCTTCAATTGAAAGCTCAAACTGAATGGTAGAAATCATTTAGAGTACTTTTAATTATCCTTTCAACAATAAATTTGATAACATATGTCAAAAAAAATTCATTTAGAGAATTCACTTCATTTTATTGAAATACAAAATATTTAACTCAATTATGTAAGAAATTGCCTCATTTTTGTGAGGTCATTCAATGTTCTTCATATAATCAAACTTTTGCATAAAGTGATAGTCATCTTAACTTGTTCTCTTCTCCAAGACTAGTCAATGAAGAGTTGTATTAATTGTTTTGGCATGATATTGAATTGCCCACCACCATCGCTTTTGTATTGATTGGTTGCATGCTTCTTGTTTTCTATTCCCCCTTTCATTACGTTATAGATATCGAAGAAGAAAGGAATAATAAATGTCGAGGGGTTTGGTGTGATGTTGCAAGCTGTTCAATTACTGCTTTGGCACATATGGGAGGCCATACATTTTGTTGAAAATATTTACGTATCAAAAAATATTTGCGGTATTACCGCTTGGTCCACATTTTTGCTGTATGTCTTTTTGGTATATTTTTATTCCAATTCTGCCTCTTCTTCTTTTTTACTTTAAATATATTTTGAAGTAATAATAAACCAATCTATACTTAGAAAGTTTCTTTGAAGTATGGAGAGGTTGGATATAACCCCCTTGAAAGTGCTTTGTAATTTGAAAAAAATTTAACACTGCTTTGTAATTTGAAAAAAATTTAACAGTTTGGTGTGGTTTGATGTTGCTAATAGCGAACTGTTCCATACTTAAAAAAAATTCTAAGTAGGAAGCAGTTCACTACTAGTAACATCGAATTGGTTATCATTTTCTTTCTGTTTTTAATGCAGTTGAACTGGTAGCAAAAAACATAAAGTTTCAAGTTCTCTTTCTCAATCCATTGCGAAATAACATGGTTCGTTCGAATTTGGCAAATTTCAAATGCATTAAAAAATAAAATAATATGTGGTTTGATGTTGCTAATATCGAACCATTCCATACTAGTAATTTTGTAAGCATAGGATGGTTTGACATTAGGAACAATGAACCCTTCCACACTTATAATCTTTCTTAAGCATAGAGCGGTTCAAAGTTGTAGATATCAAATTGCTCTATTCTTATAAAAAAAAAACAGTTCGATATTGCTAGTATTGAATTACCCTAGGCATAAATGAAATTAAAAAATAAAGAAAAATGCACACTAGTGGCAAAACTGTAATCGTAGAAAAAAATATAAAGTTATATGACTTAGTATAAAATTGGAGAAAATATAAAACAAAAGGTAAACCTTTTTTGGTCCGTACCTAAAATTTCCAAATATATCTCATTTTTCGTCAAAAGGATAATTCGCGAAAATAGTTAATGGAAAAACCTAGTATTGGGAAATTCCCAGAACAATTTCTATTAAAAAATTTCACATACTGAGGTTCAAAGGAGTGTTTGCATTGTTCTCGAGGCCGTTTGAGGAAAACAAAACTCTCAAAACAAGTTTTTGGATATAATGGTCGTTGAAAAACCTCTCCAATTGGCAAATAAGTGACACATGTCATTCGTAAGCACCAAGTAAGATATCAATTGGCAAGGACCTAACACATAAAAAAAAGATAAGCAATTATTTGGGGCACTATAAGGTGGAAAATGGTTGATTGACTTTACATAACAACCATAGATTCAAAAGTAGTTACAACATGGAATAACAATATCATATTTTCTTTGTAAGATGAAAATAAAGATATTTTTGGTCTTTCAAAAGGGTCTGCACTGAAAACTAGGGATTCAATTTTTTTTGGGTAGATTAGTGAGGTGAAGTTCTTTAACCATGATAAAAATGAAACTTAAGACGTCATATTGTGATACTCACTATCCTAACAACCTATACCTCGAATATATTCTTACAAAATAGGGATTCATTGCGTTAGTAAACCTCTTTAAAGCCATTTACATTTCTTTCCTTTAGAAGCCACACTAAAAACACACCATCAGTATCTTTCTATGAACAAATTTAGCTTCACAATAGGTAATCGCACTTGGTGCGTGTTATTTATTGTTTTCTAAAATCAAACATACGATAGTGCTATTTCCATTCTATAGTTTTGAGGGAAGCTAGTTGTCTCTTGTGGACTCTGCCTGACATCACTCTTGTCCTGTGCTAAGATTCTCTTGAGTAGTCAAAACACCTTCAATTATATGATGATTTAGCATAATAGCCTCTCTCAGCTATTCAATGCATGGGCTGCTTTGGACCTATTGTCTACTCCAAGAAAGAAACTTCATGTACTAACCATCAGTACCGCTTTCCAATCCCTTTTACCGCATGGCTTGGAGCTTGGTCAAATGATCAAACAATATAAAAAAAAGTAAAGAAAAAGGGCAATCAGACACAAAGTTTGATGTATCATCCTAGAGGACAAGAGTGGCTTATCTCAATAAAAAAAAAAAAAAAAAACAAGAAAGGAAAAAAAAAAAAAAAAAAGTGAGAAGAAGACTAGCATGGCCAATGGAAAAAGGCTCCTCTTCTTTTAGCATGGCCAATGGAAAAAGGCTCCTCTTCTTTTAGTTAGTGATCATTCCACCAGTGAAATAAATTACTCATTAGTATCCTCATATGAGAAAGAAGCATGAGTTTTGGTTGTTGTGATTTGGCCTTGCTCTACTTGATGACAAAACAAAGAAATGAACAAAAGCAATTCTTTAAGAGACCAAAATACAAGGGTGGGAATGGAAATTTCCCCTAAATTCCAAAGTCATGGTGCCCTAGAGAAATAAAGACATTTCAAAGCTTTTTGGTGCACACAGTCAGAATACAGACAGATTAGGGTCTTGGAGAGTGGTACTTCAGGTTTAGGGCTAGAAGAAAGGGGTTTGGGGGTGACGAAAATGCCGGCTGATTCTTCAACGACCAAAAACAAACCCATGTGGTTTTCTGTGCAGTGCAACCGCATTGAGGGTGAAACCCCATATTACCACAAAAGACATTCAGGCAGGATCTGATTGCACAAAGATACCTTGGCAAATCTCAAGAAATGGAGCGCATACATGCAAATGTTAGAGAGAGAGAGAGAGAAGAGAGAGAGAGAG